CTAATCCACATATAATAAGGGTAAGATATCCTTTCGAATGTAGGTGTTGCTGGGGGGGAGCATAGCCGTTGCAAGGGGCAGGGGCTCCGAAACCGTTTCCGTTTCTGTTGAATCCGTTGGTGGAGGCCGAATACCCGTTTCCATTACCGTTGAATCCGTTGGTAGGTGCCGAATACCCGTTTCCGTTTCTGTTGAATCCGTTGGTGGAGGCCGAATACCCGTTTCCATTACCGTTGAATCCGTTGGTGGAGGCCGAATACCCGTTTCCATTACCGTTGAATCCGTTGGTAGGTGCCGAATACCCGTTTCCGTTTCTGTTGAATCCGTTGGTGGAGGCCGAATACCCGTTTCCATTACCGTTGAATCCGTTGGTGGAGGCCGAATACCCGTTTCCATTACCGTTGAATCCGTTGGTGGGGGCCGAATACCCGTTTCCGTTTCTGTTGAATCCGTTGGTGGAGGCCGAATACCCGTTTCCATTACCGTTGAATTCGTTGGTGGGGGCCGAATACCCGTTTCCATTACCGTTGAATCCGTTGGTGGGGGCCGAATACCCGTTTCCGTTTCTGTTGAATCCGTTGGTGGAGGCCGAATACCCGTTTCCATTGCCGTTGAATCCGTTGGTGGGGGCCGAATACCCGATTTCATTACCATTGAATCCGTTGGTGGGGGCCGAATACCCGTTTCCGTTTCTGTTGAATCCGTTGGTGGAGGCCGAATACCCGTTTCCATTACTGTTACCATTTCCGTTTCCGTTGAATCCGCTGGTAGGTCCTTCCATTCGTCAGAACTACGACTCATATTTATGCAGGGAGGCCCTTTTTCACGTATTTTAGGAGCACCCTCTTTCACGTGCAATTTCACATGCATAATTTTTTCTCCTATTTTAGAGATGCTCTATTTCAAAAACACCCTTTCAAAAGCGCCCTATCTCATGTCTACGCCAGGGCATCTAATTAGAAATACGAGCTCATCTTGTGCAAAAGGGTTGTCCTTATCGCCTCACGCTTGTCATCTCTTGTCCTTCGTCTAGTCTTTCTTTCTTTTCTTTTCTTTTTTAGTCTTTCGTGTTCTCTTGCAACCCTTCCTGGCACCCGCCCTAAGAAGGTGCCCTGGCTCAGGAGGACTCAGACCCTTCAGGAACGCTGCTTATGAGCCATTTCAGGGGCGTCCCATTTCGCGTACCTTTTCAAGGACGTCCTATTTCAATGCCATTTATGGGCTGTCATTTTTCACATACTATTCCTGAAGCACCTTATTCCACATTCTATTTCAGGGCGCCCTAACTCTGCCTAGCTTACAGGAATCCACTGTTCAAAGTCCCTCTTGCGAAGGATTGGAAATACGTTTTCCTTCCACCTGACATCACAAGCGGCGAAATCGCACATGTCTGACCCTTGAAGCTCACCCTGGAAGTCCAGCGGCTGGCGTCAGCGTGAAAAGGGAGAGTGGATAGAAAGGGAGATGGAGAAAGAGTTAGGGGGGGTGTAGAAAGAGAAGGGGATAGAGAGACAGAGAGAAAGGTAGAGAGAGAGAGAGAGAAAGAAAGGTAGAGAGAGAGAAAGGTAGAGAGAGCGAAAGAAAGGTAGAGAGAGAGAAAGGTAGAGAGAGAAAGAAAGGTAGAGAGAGAAAGAAAGGTAGAGAGAGAGAGAGAGAAAGAGAATGGCGCGGATCCAATTATTCTCCTATTTCTTGTATTCTGCCTGTCACGCGCATGCTCGAGTGTATGTATTTGTACGTGTGTGTGTGTGTGTGCATATATACTTCATACACACACACAAAATTAGATAACGAAAGAGAGAGCGCGAAAAGAGAGAAAGAACGAAATATATATAGAGAGAAAAACAAATATACAAACAGGTTTCCGAATGATTTCATATACATATATGCACATTAATATACTCACATCTGTTTTGTTTACCCACACACGTAAGCTCTCTTTGTCTGTTTCTCTCTTTATGCACACATACATTTTGTATTTGCATATATATATATATATATACATATATATATACATATACATATATGCATATATATATATATATATATATATATATATATATATATATATATATATATATATATATATATATATATATATATATATATATATATATATATATATATATATATATATATATATATATATATATATATATATATATATATATATATATATATATATATATATATATATATATATATATATATATATATATATATATATATATATATATATATATATATATATATATATATATATATATATATATATATATATATATATATATATATATATATATATATATATATATATATATATATATATATATATATATATATATATATATATATATATATATATATATATATATATATATATATATATATATATATATATATATATATATATATATATATATATATATATATATATATATATATATATATATATATATATATATATATATATATATATATATATATATATATATTATATATACATATACAAACATATATACATATGCATATATGCATATATGTATATGTATGAAAAGTATTCATACATATCGATATACGGCACACAGTGATATCGTTTTTAAATGGATAAAATTTGGTACATACACGAATATATATATTTTTTTTTCGCACCGGAATAGGGAAGACAAAAAAAAATTTCACTTCACTTTGAGGGAAGATTTTTTTTTTCATAATTCTAAGAGTTACACATTTCTATTTATATGATCTCTGTACATATAACAGCCCTGTTTTGAAAGATGATTTTAGGTTTTCTAATCTAAAATGAAAGCACTGTGTTTGCTACAGCTAGAAATACATTGAGCTCACAGCGATAGATTTTAGCAAACGTGCATAACGTGGTTAATCTATTAAATATGAGGTACGATGAATGAAAGTATTCATGCTGTGTGCGTTAAACTGAATACTTCCATATTTCCATAGATCCGGATGTTGTCTGGATCTTATATATCGTTTTAAATCACAAAGGAGGGAAAATACCAAATGAATGCTTAGCATTTATTGCAAAAATAAATATATACATTAAGATTCAAAGAGGTGGGATCCGCTTGGGAGTAACAGAATTTAGGAAAAAGGGAGGATGGCTTTGGAAAAGAGCGCGAGACAGTGAGTAACCAATGCAAGGTCGCCGAAGCTGTTGGAATTCGAGAGCAAGCTTCGCGCTTAGAAAGGAGCGCCGTAGGAGTTGGAGGGGGCGGCGGGTGCGCCATAGCCGTTGCCGTTGCTGGCTCCGTTGCCGTTTCTACCGTTGCCATTGGAGCCATATCCGTTGCCGTTGCTGGCTCCGTTGCCGTTTCCACCGTTACCGTTGGAGCCATAGCCGTTCCTTCCGTTGCCATTGGAGCCATAGCCGTTGCCGTTGCTGGCTCCGTTGCCGTTTCTACCGTTGCCATTGGAGCCATAGCCGTTGCCGTTGCTGGCTCCGTTGCCGTTTCTACCGTTGCCATTGGAGCCATAGCCGTTGCCGTTGCTGGCTCCGTTGCCGTTTCTACCGTTACCGTTGGAGCTATAGCCGTTGCTTCCGTTCTTGCCGTTGCTTCCGTTCTTTCCGTTGCCGTTGCCATTTGATCCGTAGCCGTTTCCATTGCCGTTGAGGATGCCGTTGGTGGCGGCAGCGTAGCCATAGCCAGCGTCGGGAACGACTCCGATGAGTTCGTTGACGGAGTAGAAGCTCTCAGCTTGAGAACAGTCCACGTTGAACCACCAGTCACATACCAGGTACTGCTGGTTGAAGATGGTACCGTTGGGGCACAGGAACGAGTCCTGTTGGCGCCTGAGGGCGCGGTCCTGGCAGATATGGAACACCTGGCAGCCGGCTTCAGCTGCAGTGTCGGCGTAATAACCTTGCACCGCCTGGGCATCGCACGAGAAGCCGGTGTCGGGCACGGAAGCCAAGATGGGGTAGTCCTCGCCGGGGACGCCGCCCCCGGGAATGTTCTCGGCCAAAGCGGCAATCTCAGGGTCTACTCCGTAGGCGCCGTTGGGCGGGCCATAGGTGTTGCTGGGGGGAGCATAGCCGTTGCGAGGGGCAGGGGCTCCGAAACCGTTTCCGTTTCCGTTGAATCCGTTGGTGGGGGCCGAATACCCGTTGCCATTACCGTTACCGTTTCCGTTGAATCCGTTGGTAGGGGCCGAATACCCGTTTCCATTACCATTACCGTTTCCGTTTCCGTTGAATCCGTTGGTGGGGACCGAATACCCGTTTCCATTACCGTTACCGTTTCCGTTTCCGTTGAATCCGTTGGTGGGTGCACCATATCCGTTGCTGGGAGGCGGAGGTGCACCGTAACCGTTACCATTTCCGTTGAAGCCGTTAAGGCTGTCCGCCGCGACGAGCCCGACGATTGCTGAAGAAGAAATGAATGAGGAAATGGAATGAAAAGAATTAGAGAATGAAAACATAAAGCAAGAAAAAATATTTACGTAGGCATGATGAACCAGATACTCAAACCTACTGAATAGTATCAGTGACTTCATCGCTGTGATAAAAGGAATTTCTGTGAAATACGAGAGATGATAAAGCAAGACGAACTATATATACCGGCGGAGGGACTTGGCTCCGCCCACCGCCCTTGGATCAGGAAGGAATCATGAAGTGCATGAACCAAGGCGGATGGGAGGGTGGGGGGGGAGTAGAGAGGAAAGAGAGAGTGAGAGAAGAGAGAGAGGAACACATATACATATATACACACACACACATACATATATATACATTCATATATATATATACATACATATAAATACATACACACAGATATTTGTTATGTGTTCATATATACACACAGACATGTATATAAAAAAAAATTATACACATATATATAGACATGTATGTCTATACATATATGTATGTATCTATCTATACATATATATACACAAATATGTATATATATGTATCTATATACATATATACATATATATACACAAATATATATGTATATGTATGTTTATATATTGTACATATACAGAAATATGTATATATAATTATACATATATATATGTATGTATTTTATGTATATATGTACATATATATATATGTATGTATTGTATACGTTTACAATCCTATAGATAAACAGATATATAGATATATATACGCACACACAGACATATATATATATATATATATATATATATATATATATATATATATATATATATATATATATATATATATATATATATATATATATATATATATATATATATATATATATATATATATATATACGTATAATTACATGAAAAATGCTATACGTTCTTATATTGAAATACTGAATGTGCAATGCTATTCATAGACTTCGTCAGATCATTGCATCATTTATTCCGCCGTATTCGTATAAACAACCATAGGTTATATTACGATATGAATGTTATTTCTAGTCAACGTTAACTTTGATACGTGGTGGAAGGGTGACCCTATAGGTTTATGTACATGATATGTTTGTGCTTATCCCATATTACTGTACCTTGGAACCATCTTCGTAAAGATAATAACTACCATAATCAACGGAATAAAGTGCTTTGAATTTGAACTGCAAGTGAATTTGAACCTCTGCCTGATAGAGACGGGATTGGACAGTCTCAGAGACAGAGGCTGTTTCTTAATGTTCCTTGAATTTGTCAGGGAAAATCTATGGCCTTTCGCGATTGCTGGCCTGGGATCTCTTGTCCTTCCTTGTGTCGGAACTCAGCTATCAGATATTCACTCATTTCAGGGCATCCTGTTTCACATACCTCAGATGCTTAATTTTTCAACAACTGCTTCACCGATGCCCTATTTCAAATGTTATTTCAAAAGCGCCTAATCTGCTTCAGGGGCACCCAATACCACGTACTGTTTCAGGGACGCCCTTCCTGGACGTAACTGACTGCGGATTCTTAACCCAATCGGCACGCATGGCAAGAATACAAGCCATACCCATTGTAATACAAGTTTATTTATTGTATCTATACATAGATGGCTATACATGTGCTTAGTCACCAAGGAGTCAGTTATTAGTCCTACATATCTCACCTGTTTACCCTTTTCCTCGACTTTTGGAAAGAGTCTTTTGCATTATTTCATTGTCTTAAATGTTATCGAGAATTTAATAACAATTCAATAATCATAACATCAATAACAATAATAGCAGTGTCAATGTCAACTTTATTAAAAAAAAAAAAAAAACATTTTCCCGCCAATTCAAGGAATGGGGAAATCAGGATCGGTCACTAGAGCTACTGATCGACTCCTTGCCGGCAGAGCACATGTGGAGCCATCTGTACGTAACAAAATTCACAAAAAAATACAGGGGGCAGAATATATATCCAGGGCGATTGGGTTAATTTACAGGGGCTGTCCTTATCTCACGCTTGCAATCCGGTATCCTTTCCATAGTATTTTGTATCCACCTGCAACCCACCCTACCATTCGTTTTAGAGGACGTGCCAGTCCAGGACCACTCATGCCCTTCCTTGCGTTGGATCCCATGCTTATATGCCGTTTCAGGGATGCCCTATTTCACATGCCACGTCAGGGGTCCCCTATTTCAAATGCTATTTCACGGCTATCCTTTTTTCACCTACTAATCCAGGAAAACCTTATTTCCCATATCATTCAGGAACAACTTCCTGCACATAACTTGGTGGAGATTCACTGTTCCTGTGATGGATAGAAAATGTTTATGTTTTTTTTTCTTTCCGCTTGACACCGCAAGCTGTGGAACCGCACACGCGCCTAGCCTCTGAAATCCATCCTGGAACTCCAAAGGCCGAAATCAACATGAAAAAGAAGAGTTAAAAGAGAGATTTCGGGGGCCCTTTACTCCCACAATTCTTCTATTCTACATGCACGCACGCTTGTGTGTGTTTGTATGTAAGTGTCATAGCCATAAACATCCCATATACCCCCCCACACACAGAAAGAGTGAGGGAGAGAGAGAAATGTACAAACATACTGAATATATACACATATTTTCATATATACATATATACTTAGAATACAAGATCTGAAAACACATTTTTTTTAGCCGTTGGAACAACTTCCTGCACATAACTTGGTAGAGATTCCCTGTTCCTATGATGGCTCGAAAATATTGTTGTATTTTCTTTCCGCTTGGCACCGTAAGCTGTGGAACCGCACACGTGCCTAGCCTCTGAAAATCATCCTGGAACTCCAGTGGCCGAAATCAACATGAAGAAGAAGAGTTAAAAGAGAGATCTTTGGGGCACTTGACTCCCACAATTCCTCAATCCTACATGCACGCACGCTTGTGTGTGTTTGTAAGTGTCATGGCCATAAACATCCCACATACCCACACACACATAAGAAGTGAGGGAGAGAGAGAAATGTACAAACATACTGAATATATACACATATTTCCACATATACATATATATGTGTAGAATACAAGATCTAGAAACGCAAAATCTTTAACTATTTCTATCTATATACACATTATGTATTTGCATCTATATACATATATACACATCGCTATATAAGGCAACGGGTGTATTCATTTAACTTTTGGGAAGATCAATAAACATTTATATTTATTGATTTACATATTTATCTTTATTGATGCATCTCATTTTAAACAAAAGAAAGATGGTAGGTATACTGAACTAAAATGAAAACACTGTTCCTGTTTCAGTTACCTGTATAATCATTTCACAGCGAAAAGATTTAGTAAACGTGCAAATATGAGCCGTAAAATGGAGATATTAAGCTATTTGTTCCTCAAGTTATTGTTCCATCACGCAAAGTATTTCCTTTTTGCCGGTGATTCATTAAAAGTTCTTGTGAGGTATCTCACCCACCAGATACAAGACTTACTGCAATATATTCATCTATATCTATATCTGTCTGCATATCTAATAACACTTTAAAACGTAATGGAAAGAGAACAGTTTATGTGATATATTGATACACCAAATGAATGCATAGCATTTATTGCAAAAATAAATATACACTTAAATCTAAAGAGGTGGGATCCACTTGGGAGTTCGTATAGCAAGTATTAATAAAGTTCAAGTGTATATGAGTAGAATTACGAGAAAAGGGGAAATGGCTTTGGAAAAGAGCGCGAGACAGTGAATAACCAATGCAAGGTCGACGAAGCTGTTGGAATTCAAGAGCAAGCTTCGCGCTTAGAAAGGAGCGCCGTAGGAGTTGGAGGGGGCGGCGGGTGCGCCATAGCCGTTGCCGTTGCTGGCTCCGTTGCCGTTTCTACCATTACCGTTGGAGCCATAGCCGTTGCTTCCGTTCTTGCCGTTGCCGTTTCTTCCGTTGCCGTTGGAACCATAGCCGTTGCTTCCGTTCTTGCCGTTGCTTCCGTTCTTTCCGTTGCCGTTGCCGTTTGATCCGTAGCCGTTTCCGTTGCCGTTGAGGATGCCGTTGGTGGCGGCAGCGTAGCCATAGCCAGCGTCGGGAACGACTCCGATGAGCTCGTTGACTGAGTAGAAGCTCTCAGCTTGAGAACAGTCCACGTTGAACCACCAGTCACATACCAGGTACTGCTGGTTGAAGATGGTACCGTTGGGGCACAGGAACGAGTCCTGTTGGCGGCCTGAGGGCGCGGTCCTGGCAGATATGGAACACCTGGCAGCCGGCTTCAGCTGCAGTGTCGGCGTAATAACCTTGCACCGCCTGGGCATCGCACGAGAAGCCGGTGTCGGGCACGGAAGCCAAGATGGGGTAGTCCTCGCCGGGGACGCCGCCCCCGGGAATGTTCTCGGCCAAAGCGGCAATCTCAGGGTCTACTCCGTAGGCGCCGTTGGGCGGGCCATAGGTGTTGCTGGGGGGAGCATAGCCGTTGCGAGGGGCAGGGGCACCGAAACCGTTTCCGTTTCCGTTGAATCCGTTGGTTGGTGCCGAATAACCGTTTCCATTACCGTTTCCGTTTCCGTTGAATCCGTTGGTGGGGGTCGAATACCCGTTTCCATTACCGTTTCCGTTTCCGTTTCCGTTGAATCCGTTGGTGGGTGCACCATATCCGTTGCTGGGAGGCGGAGGTGCACCGTAACCGTTACCATTTCCGTTGAAGCCGTTAAGGCTGTCCGCCGCGACGAACCCGACGATTGCTGAAGAAGAAATGAATGAGGAAATGGAATGAAAAGAATTAGAGAATGAAAACATAAAGCAAGAAAAAATATTCAAGTAGGCATGATGAACCAGATACTCAAACCTACTGAATAGTATCAGTGAGTTCATCGTAGTGATAAAAGGAATTTCTATGAAATACGAGAGATGAAAAAGCAAGACGAACTATATATACCGACGGATGGACTTGGCTCCGCCCACCGCCCTTGAATCAAGAAGGAATCATGAAGTGCATGAACTAAGGCTGATCGCGGGAGGGGGGGGGGGGGGTCGTGAAGAGGAAAGAGAGCGTGTCATGAAGTGCATGAATCAAAAGAGGGGGGGGGGGGCTGAGAGTACGGAGGGAGAGAGTGAGAGAGAGACAGATATTGCCAGGGGAGAGGGAGAGCCAGCCATACATATATCAGGCATAAACACACATATATACACACATGTATATTTATTTATATACGTATATGAATATATATGTGTGAGTGTGTCCATAATAACAACACAAGTGCTACACTTTCTTATATAGGGAATGCTGAATGTGCAATGTTATAAATGAATTACGTTCGATCATTGCATCATTCATTCCATCGCATTCTTATAAACAATTGTCATCACAGGATGTATTACGATGTAAATGTTCATTTAAGTTAACAGCCTGACAGAAGGGCGGCTGCTTATCTCCTTTTACTGTACCATGCAACCTGTTAAAAAGAATAACCATTGTAACTAATGGAATGTATTTTAAACTGGAATAGCGATTGACTTTGAAGTTGCTTGAGACAGAGACAAATGCTGGGCAACCTCAGAGTCAGAGGTTGTTACGGACGCTCCTTAAAGTTGTCAAGGAACTTCTATAGCCTTTCGCGAATACTGTCCTAGTGTCTCTCATCCTTGTGTTGGAACTGCGACTCATATATAAATCTTTCATTGGTTTCTCGGGCCCCTTGTTTCCCAAGCTATTTCGAATGAATTATTTTCTACGGCTGTTTTACGGAGACCCTATTTCAAAGATAATTTTCAAGAGCGCCCTATCTCACATGCTACTTCAGGGGAATCCAATCTGACATACTTTTAGGGACGTCCTTCCCGGTCGTAGCTGATTCATAAGTCTTTTGTCTCCTCTTACAACCCTTCCTGGCACCCGTTTTTAAAGGATGTCCTGCCATAAGGCTACCCCAACCTTTCTTTGCTTCAGGACCGCTGCTTAAAGGCCACTTCAGGGGGGTCCTATTTCACATACCATTTCAGGGGTAGCCCATTTCAAACGCTACTTCAGGGCTGTCTTCGTTCGTATACTACTCCTTATTCCATATACTATTTCAAGGGCGCCCTTCCTGCACCTACGTTATTGAAGATCCCATGTTTAAAATCCTTCTCGTGAAAGATGAAGAATGTATTTATATGATACAAACATTAAAAATACACTACAGGCATTGTTTACAATGCATCAAATATCGAAATCGAATATTTCCACTTCAGTAGGCATATTTTCTTACAATAACACGATACATGTAACAGGCACGCACACGCACAGTGTAGAGACACATACTTTTTTCTTAGCCACGCACACACATATCGATATGCTCGATTTACTTTATACTGCAATTTTCTTTTTAATTGAATAAGATTTGAGATGCTATTTTCAAGAATAAATCCTTTTTAACACTCAAATATGTAAGACAAAGAAGCATTTCATCATTTTTTTGGGGGGAGGTCAGGAATATATTTACATACATACATATATGTGTATGCATGTATGTATGTATTATCCGTTCATATTTATTTTTATTGACGCGATCTCTGCTCTTATTACCTAACAAAAAAGCAGTTTCAAACGAAGGTGAAAGGTTTGCTGAGCTAAGATGGAAATCACTGTACTTGTTTCAATGAGATATACTATACAGTGATCTCACAGTGACAGGTTTTAGCAAATGTCCATCATTGTTTAAATCAGTATGCTGCGAATGAGCTGTATAATGAATGGACGCCTCATGGAACAGTATGTTTGGCAGGTTATTGTTCCAACAGCATAAATTATTCTATCTTTCCGCCTTGACTAATGAAAAGATTCTAGTGAACTGAGACACTACATTATGATCAGCGATATGGATTTTTTTCAGGATATTAAATATCTTTTTCTTAACGTAATGGAAGGAGAACACTTCATATGATATATTGATAACACCAAATGAATGCGTAGTATTTATTGCAAAAATAAATATACACTTAAATCTAAAGAGGTGGGACCCACTTGGGAGTTCGTATAGCAAGTATTAATAAGGCTTAAGTGTACGTAACAGAATTGAGGAAAGAGGGTGTTTGGAAAAGAGCGCGAGACAGTGAATAACCAATGCAAGGTCGCCGAAGCTGTTGGAATTCAAGAGCAAGCTTCGCGCTTAGAAAGGAGCGCCGTAGGAGTTGGAGGGGGCGGCGGGTGCGCCATAGCCGTTGCCGTTGCTGGCTCCGTTACCGTTTCTTCCGTTGCCATTGGAGCCATAGCCGTTGCCTCCGTTCTTGCCGTTGCCGTTTCTACCGTTACCGTTGGAGCCATAGCCGTTGCTTCCGTTCTTGCCGTTGCTTCCGTTCTTTCCGTTGCCGTTTGATCCGTAGCCGTTTCCGTTGCCGTTGAGGATGCCGTTGGTGGCGGCAGCGTAGCCATAGCCAGCGTTGGGAACGACTCCGATCAGCTCATTGACGGAGTAGAAGCTCTCAGCTTGAGAACAGTCCACGTTGAACCACCAGTCACATACCAGGTACTGCTGGTTGAAGATGGTACCGTTGGGGCACAGGAACGAGTCCTGTTGGCGCCTGAGGGCGCGGTCCTGGCAGATATGGAACACCTGGCAGCCGGCTTCAGCTGCAGTGTCGGCGTAATAACCTTGCACCGCCTGGGCATCGCACGAGAAGCCGGTGTCGGGCACGGAAGCCAAGATGGGGTAGTCCTCGCCGGGGACGCCGCCCCCGGGAATGTTCTCGGCCAAAGCGGCAATCTCAGGGTCTACTCCGTAGGCGCCGTTGGGCGGGCCATAGGTGTTGCTGGGGGGAGCATAGCCGTTGCGAGGGGCAGGGGCACCGAAACCGTTTCCGTTTCCGTTGAATCCGTTGGTAGGCGCCGAATACCCGTTTCCATTACCGTTTCCGTTTCCGTTGAATCCGTTGGTTGGTGCCGAATACCCGTTTCCATTACCGTTTCCGTTTCCGTTAAATCCATTGGTAGGGGCCGAATACCCGTTTCCATTACCGTTTCCGTTGAATCCGTTGGTGGGGGCCGAATACCCGTTGCCATTACCGTTTCCGTTACCGTTTCCGTTGAATCCGTTGGTAGGGGCCGAATACCCGTTGCCATTACCGTTACCGTTCCCGTTGAATCCGTTGGTAGGGGCCGAATACCCGT